TGCGTTGGACATCCTCCAGGCCTTGGTGGAACTGGCGGAGGACCCGGACCGGGACTTCCTCCATCACCTGCATGAAGGCGTACCTCTAGGAGTAGACGGCCCAACTCTTCCGGATCCGAATATATGGCCTTCCAAGCAAGAGCTGGGGAGCGCACCGAGGGATCTGGAGCCCCCGGCTCCCACTACTGCTGACAACTACCCCAGTGCAGAGGTCTTCGAGGACACCATCGAGCAAACTTTCCTGGAAGAGAAACTCCTCGACATGGTGGCGGGGCCCCTGTCGGAACAGGAGGCCGCGGACCTCTGTGCCTGCGACGTTGCAGAATTGTGTGTGGGGGCCATGGCGGGCATTCAGGAACTGGACAAGATCAGGACCATCTTCGACGCCTCGGTCATTGGCGTCAATGACAACATTAGGGCGAACACTGACAAGAAGACCACTGCCCCGACGTTGTACGACTTGCTCTTCGCTTGGCTCCATCTGAAGTCGAAGGACCTGACACTCTTCAAGTCCGATGTGAGCAAGGCTCACCGGAGGATCAAGGTTCTCAAGAAGCATTGGAAGTACATGGTGGCCAAGATCAAGAAGAAGTTCTGGGTCAACAAGGTCGGAACCTATGGTGTGGCCTCGGCTCAGCTCTATTGGGGCCGATTGGCAGCCATCCTCACCCGCCTCTCCTACCAGATTTCGGAGGTGTTCCTGTGGATCCTTGTCTTTGTTGACGATTTCATGGCTGTTATGAAGGAGAGCCTTGGTGAACTGGGGGCTGCTACCCTCATGCTCTTCCTCACGCTGCTGGGCTGTCCTATCTCTTGGCACAAGAATGCCCTAGGAAAGGTCAACCGTTGGTTGGGCTACATGGTTGACATCTCCGAAGGCTCCGTGTGGCTCCCGGAAGAGAAGATGACCGTCCTCCGCCCGGCCCTGCTGAGGTTGGAATCAGGGGAACTACACACCAGGAAGGAAATCACCTCCTTACTGGGAAAATTGCAGTGGGTGGCTAAGGCCTACCCGCAGGTGAGCTCTCACCTCCAGCCGCTCTATGCATGGAAACAGAAACTGGAACGCAAGTGCAAGCCGGGAGACCTTGTACGTTTCCTCGCTACTCTGCTCATCTCTATCTTGGATGCTGGTCCCTGCGTTCCTCTCTTTTCCTTTTGGCTGCGGAGTCCTTGGGACCCAGCATGGTTGATGCGCACCTCCCTCTCACTACGGATAATGAGGGCAATGCCTTTTCTGCCAGCAAGAGATCTTCGAAGAAGTGGCCTTGCTCGGCGCTTTTGATGGAGCTCTCAGCACAGGAGTTCCACAAGGGTGTCTTTGCTCAGGTCACCCATGTTAAGCGGAGCTCAAACACGTGGGCAGATCAGCTCACACACTTTGATTTCGAAGGATTCTCCCCCGAAAAGAGGCGGGAAGTCTCCTTGTCCTGGACTCCGAGCTGGATGATCCTGGATAAGCTCCTCGCCTTTAAATCGGATCAATAGTTCCCGGGCTCCCTCTTTTAGCCCTGATTTGAAACAGGACACGAGTGCCAGGTACGGTTGCCTCAGGTGCCGATTACCGGCACTTTGTGACTGTACGTTTCGGCGGGACCTTTTCACTCTCGGGCTCCCGGGTCGGCTGTTTTCTCTCGGATCGGATTGGGGGGTTGTGAAACCCCTCGTTTGATCAAGCCGAGGAGGGGTGGCGTATTTCCGACCGGTCTTCGGACCTGTCTGAGCTATGCCTGCCCCGGGTCCCTCGGAGTTTTGATCTGATCTGCCACTTCTCGGACCTCGTCGGATTCGGGGAAAAAGTGCTTGTGCCTAACCCAAGGCTTGTGGCTGCACTGTGACTTGTATATGGAAGATAAGGGTATACGGTATACTGGGTACTATACTTCTAACTATGTAAGGAACTCCAGAAAAGACCCGGAAGATCAAGAGCTTACTTCAGTGGCCGGGGCCGTAGATTTGAAGAACGGCCCCGTTCGTTTGCTTCTGCTCTTCAGGACTCGACGAGATGAGGGACATCGCAGAGGCCCGGACATGGATGTGCTTGTGCGAAGTATGCAGCAGCAGTACCGCCCCGGTTGCTGTCGGTTGTGCTCTGCCCGAGTTGCAGGAACTGGAGCAGAAAAAGAGAGAGCTACAGATGAAGGACCATGGCATCTGACAGTGCCAAGCTGCAGCCGTACTCTTTCGCAGATGTTTTGTCAGAGCCCGCTGCATGATGCACCTGATCACCACACCAGGTTTCAGTCTCCAACGACACTTTCATCAGACATGTTTGTCAAACTGAATAGCGTAGTACTGGTGTCAGCGTGGGTATTAGTACACGTAGTTCCAACTTTCAACAAAGAGCTCCAGATCTCTTCTTCGACCTGTCAGATCCCGCAGGATTCGCTGCTGCGTGCAAAGGACGAGGAAATGGAGCAGCTCCGCTCGGAGCTGGACGCTCTGCGCGAAGGCCGGAAGTCCGGGCGAGAAGTGAAGTTTCGTGGATATTTACGTGCCTGTCAGCTATCCACATTGGATGCTGGGCACGGCAACTTCTTTTTAGGATCCATCTCCGTGCCTGCATGTGCTCCTCTATACATGCAAAGCAGTTCAAAACATTGTAATGGCCTAGTCGGACTAGCTGGTTATAACTTATAACGAGCTGTGCTCATGTACCAGGACTACGTCCCGGCGGCTTGGCTGAGTTGGTCACAGGCCGAAGGGTGCCGTCGTGTAGGGCCGGGCAGCCGCTGAGGTTACAACAACGGCTTGGCGAGCCGGCACAGCAAAGTCTCAGTTGCGATTGACAGCACGTTCGAGGCCCCCTTCCACGAACGATCCACCAGTGATCCATAATGAGACATCAACAGACCCCAGTGCCAACAAAACCAGGATGCGCTGGCTCAGCTGAGCGCTGTGGAGGCAATGCATCCCGGCGAGGAATGGCTTTCAGCTTGTTGATGCGACACTTCCAAAAAGCCTCGTCGTGTCAAGGTTAACGGCTTGCGCCCCAGGCGCACTGCAGCGTGCTTCCCCGAAGCGTCTCAGCTTTGCCCAGTGTCATGCTGCACTCTTCCCAAAACCCAACCCAAAGCCAAAGCCCAATCGTAGGTTGAATGCGTCTTCGAGCCTTCCACATAAAAACGAGATTCTGTCGCGATTGAATGCACATGCCCTTTCTGTGCAGTGCCTTGCGGAGTTTATTCAGAGCGCCTCATGCCAAGGAGCACCGAGTCTTCGTCGTGATGCTGCTGCTGCTAATGATAATGCTTTGATGCCACCAAAGTTAATAGTGGCGAGAAATTGCCTCTTGGCAGCTGAGCAAGAGGTCGGGTGGCCGAATTAATTCGGCAGCCCACAGTTTTCGTGGACCATGCCCTCAGCAGCGTGGTCCAGAAAAGATCAGCTTGCTGATCCGAAAGTCTCGTTACATAGTTCAAGAGTTCAAGACAAGAGCTTGACGCCCGTGACGGCCGCATGTGGCGATGCGCTGAATGTCACCTGCTTGGCCCAGGCTGGCAAAGACCGAGGAGGTGCGCTGCTCCACGGTCTGGGGCCCAGCAGCCGCACCTCTGCGTGAGGGCATCTGGGATTTGGCACCCTGAGCGCTCGCGTGCCGGCCTTGATCTCAACCTTCCGGCTCTCAGGATATGCTGCTCGTCAACCCGAACCGGGGCTTCGGTTGGCACCAGGTCAGCCCTGCATCACCAGAACGGGGCCTGAAGAGTAGGCAAACATCAGGGTCTAGCTGTTGTCAGTGGCGGCTTTGTGGGGAGGAATTTTGTGTGCCAAGGACCCCAAGTTAATCCGAACCGTGACTCCTAAGCGCTACGGCCCTGCGCCACAAGCATCCTCAAGCCCCAAACTCCGCCGTGAAGGACAACCAGAACGGGCCCATCGAGTTCGATGATGCGGTCCGATGGTCGGCTCCTCAGACGGCTCTCCCATCTTCCGTGCAGTTGGGAGCCTCGCTTCAATCTTCGCCATCATTGCCATGCTTGTTGCTGGATTGTTTTGATTTGTGCCACCGGCTCAGCCCCAGCAAGAAGCACCAACAGCACCGACAGCAACGGCACCACTGCCGGCACCAGCGGTGCAGTGCATGGTCCTATCATCCAGGGGTTTTAGCGACAATCAGCCTCAGCTTGTAAGTTCGTATGGTTCGTGGCATTCTAAACGCAGGTCGTCCGCAAGAGTAGATGTCGGCTGAGGTGGGTGGCCATGGATGCTTGTGGTCAGGCACGCTCATTGCAAACCAAAGATGGCTGCTAGCTCTGCCGAAGCGCACTTTTTCCGTGAGGATGGCATTGGTGCTCCTGAGTACTTGCTGGGATCTCACCGAAACAAGCCTGCTCCTCGGATTTCTGAGCTTAGGCGAAAAGGCAGGTGACCTTAATCAAAGTGCCGCAGAGCGACGGTCGCATACTTTGAGGTCTGTCAGCAGCGATGCTGCCCAACTGCCCTGTTTTGCAGCCTACTGTACAGGATGCTCCAGCCAAGCCACTCCATGCTTGCTTGTGGTTCGTCGCAGGTCTTCGTCAAGCTTGAGGACCCGCAGCTTGTGGATAGTGCCAATGATACTGGTAACATTCCCCATCCGCCGAATCGCACTTTATATAAACCCGAGTAACTTTGGGTGCACACTTTCCGGCAGGATGGAGACCTCTCAACCTATCCTCGAAGCACCAGGTGTGCTGGGCGTAGTTTTGTGGGTGCGGCCACGACTGCTCAAAGAGCTGTCCGAACGCCAGGTACACTCCCGAGCCAGGAGATTTGATCATCTGGAATGCCCGCACCAGTGTGGAGCCCAGGGATGACAGACTCGTCGTAGTTTCATAAAAAGCGCCCACGAGCCGCGCTCTTTGCAGTTCACCGCATCGTGGCGCCTCCGGGGCAGAAGTGGGTGGACCGACAGCGACAGCGAGCGCCGAGCGCTTCCGCGGTCGGGTCCTCGCCCAAGCAAAAAACAACGCGGCTCTCGCGAGGACGGCACTCAACGGCGTGCCATCGGCGGCACCATGGCCAAGGCTCAGAGTCTCTCTTCACTTGCTTGAGCCTTGCCCTTCTTGCAAGCGAGCTCCGCGAACTGCGCAGGCTGGTGCCAAGTACATCAACAAGGGCGGTGCCAGCGGCATCAGTGACCTTGCAGGCCGGAAGCCCGTCGCGGACTTTCTGCTTTGTGCCTCGGCTTACGGCCCAGGGCATACCCAGGAGAACGGCGAAGAGCTAGGAGGCCTGAGTCTCAGCTGCCACCGCTGGGTACAGCCACAGCTCATATTAGTCCACAATCGCAAAAGTCAGGTCCTCAGGGCCAGTCATGCACCGATCCACCCAGGCCCCTATTTCCCACGCATTTTTCCCGAGCGCGTTCCAGAGGAGGAGGCTGGTCAGTTGGGCAGCATGACCCGGGCATATCCGGGCACCACCTCCGTGAGACAGAAGCAGCAGAGAATGCAACAAGTTCTCCTTCGCAACTGTTTTGTTGTGCTGCCGACTTGGCTCAAGCCCGTGCTCTTCCCCTCTCCCTTGCAGGGCCAGGGGCTGAGAGGCTGAGAGGCTGAGGTGTATAGGCTGCCATCGAAAAATCGATCCGTGTCAGGCTGCTCTCATTCGCCATGCATGGATATGCAGACAGGCCTGCAGTCGATCTTGGATTCCAGAGACCGGGTGCCCTTCCGGGGACCTTCGCATGTCTCTTTTTCAGGACCAAAGTTTGAGATTTTGGTGGTGCAGTAACAGTACCTGTGGCTGGTTCCGTTGGTCCCGTTGTCAGTGCAGTCTACACTTCTCGAGAAGTCGGAGTTCGTTGAGGACTAACTGACTGACTCGTGCTGTTGAGACAATCCTGCAAGTATCGTGTATTTATCTTTTTGACCTGTGTGCGCCGTGCTCTTGACACTGCCAATATCAAGTACACCTGGCTCCGAATCTAGGCTCCGAATGAATGGATCTCATGCACGAATCGCGCCGTCGACACATCCCTGTTTTTTACCTGCGGCCTTCCTCGATTTCAAGCGTAGACACGGAAGTCCCTGCAAAGCACACGGTATCCGTCCTTTTGCATCTTGAAGGCAAGCTGTGGCTCGGCGCACGGCGATCCTGGCGGAGTCTGCCGTACGTTCTGCCAACCAGGTGGGGATTTGCGGTATCATTAGACACAAGGCAAGTAGAAGTGACGAGGTCGACAGGCCCGTGCGCGAAAGTCCGCCTGTGTACATGGGTGCCTTTTTGGACAGAGATCCTCCTTCGGTATGAACTGCGTAAGAAACTTGACAGTGAGGACCGTAAATTAGGGCTGTGAAGACCTATCAACACCTATTAACACCAATGTTTTCATTGTGTAGGTAGCATCGGGGACAGACGGGGACGACGGGGACGAGCGAGCTTGCAACTCCCTGATTGCAATAGGTGGGATTTGACCCTTTCTGAAACGGAAGCATCGCACGGCTTCTAGTTGAATCCGAGGGGTACTCCTGCAGATCGATGATACCGGGATTTGAGCATATAGTGGCAAGGGTATTCCAGAGATATCTTTTCGGGAAAGTGTTGCCCGGACTTGCAGTGACCAGGTCAGAATGCCTTAGTCGGTAATTTAGAATATGAGAGATAGCAAGGGTTTTAGTCAGGCTTCGAGACAGTCAAGCGGAAAGGTGTATTCCTGCGGGAATCTTCAGTATAGGGGTCGACGGCTTGAAGCGGCTTGAAGCTTCTAGATGATGGGTTGTACATTGTAAACTGAAGATTTCGTAACATACGGTTTGGGGATCTTCGATCTTCAGTCTTCGCTGGAATGCATTGAAATTCAATTGGGTTCGTGCTCTGACTCGAGTGTCGGCCCCCTAGGAAAGTTATGGGTATACGGGCGACCACGTATATGTATGTATGTTTATATAGATACAGATAGTTAGATAGATAGATCGATCATAACAAACACACAGTTTATATAACTTTTCATATTTGTGTAATCATTTAGCTAGATAGATAGATACGTACATATGTATACGTATATGCACGAAGACTGAGTATATACAAACGCACACACACACATATATATATATATATATATATATATATATACATACATGTAGATATAGACATACATGTAGACAGATAATAATAAGGAGGCAGAGACACATATACACCACACACACACACACAGATAGATGTATAGACTGAAAACTTGGATGTCTCGAAAGTCTTTGCGAGGTATCATCAAACAGTCATCGCACAAAGATGCACAACCATGACAGTTCTGCACTACTCTGTGAGAAGGTGCAAGCACATGCTGTGGAGTGCTGTCGACCATGCGAAGGTCCACGGCACGACACCTGTCTTTCGCAAGGACGACAGGACAGCATCATATTGTGTACTTCAGACAGAGGGAGTCTATTTCCACGTGCCTTTCCCTTGCGAGCCACACATTTTTGCGTTCGCTCCCAGTGACGAGGATCAAGCGCTTGTTGCGTGACGCCCTCGATGCGGCGGCAGATCCTCTGAGTAGCTACTTGGAGGCCACCCCGACCTGACCTGCACAGCTTGCGAGCCGCGCTTCGTGATAGCCTTGCAGCCTGGTGTGGCCCTGCAGCAGGATTTGGATAACGACCATTTCGAGCAGCTTATCGATGCTTTCCGCCCACACGAAGTGCGCATGCTAGTCAGGAGTCGCCGCAAAAGCAGGCCGTTGGATTTTGCACTTGAGCCAGGCAGGAAGGTTTGCAGTCAGTTCAGGTGCATTGTGAGACACGGGTTCAGTCTTCGAGTTTTTAAGAATTTTTCCAAAGAGCCCGCAGACATCACTGGTTCGATGTCTTGCAGCAGCGTAATCAGTCACCGAATCTCTGTAGCAGTACCAGGAGTAGCAGTAACGGTAGGAGTGGTAGTAGGAGTCGTCAGTGAGCAGCAGCAGCAGCAGCAGCAGCAGCAGCAGCAGCAGCAGCAGCAACAGCAGCAGCAGCAGCAGCAGCAGCAGCAGCAGCAGCCGGATGGTTGTGGTTGGTTGTTGTCGTTGTCGTCATCGTACCTCTATTAGTCACCAGTAGTGGCGTTGATAGTGATAGTGGTACTTGGACGGTAGTCGTAGTGCCAATGCCAGTGCCGGTGGCAGCGGTAGTGGTAACAGTGGCACAGAAGCAACAGCCTAGCCACAGTAAGCAGCACGCCCTGCAGCCAACTCTTGTGATCATGATGGCAGTCACTTCTGGGTCGTGCGATGCTGCAGGTACCTATGGACGCCTACGTCATCGTGCAGGGTCACTACGTGGAGAATGACAAGCCGGGGCTGTTTGTGCTGGAGGCCGTGCGTGGTTCGGTATGGTCCCGAGGGCAGTCCTTGTCAGAGCTTGGCAACAGGATGGCATGCTGGAAGCCTTGAGGGCAGACAAGTACGAGGTGCGGCGTCAGCGCTAGTTGTCTCATTGCACATCTGCATGCTTGGTCTCCTGACCCTCCCGATTCCAGTTCTCAAACCTTTGGTTCACGAGTGTCACCGCAGCACCGTGTCGCGTTTGCCAGGAGAAAGTTGTGCGAAGGTACACGGAGCGCGGCTCTTGGAGACGGTGCAACAGAAGCTCACGCATGAAACAGAAGATCCTTAGAGCCCGAGAGGCCCGGCAGTATCTTCGGCGAGCTTGCGGTCCTCCACCAGGCCCGATGTGACAAGTGCAAGCCGCCCGAATCCGCTTTTCACGCCCAAGGCCCCGCGCGCGGCGACCGTGGTTGCACGAACTGCGGGGATCTCGAGATTTGGGAGTTTCCGAAAATTAGGGGTACCTTATTTTGGGGCCCTTATAATAAGGATCCTGGTATTTAGGGTGCTCTATTCGGGTCCCCTATTTTCGGAAGCTCCCATTTACTTTCGCTCAAAGGAGTCGCCACAGTGACCAGAGTTGCCTCGAAAGGATGCGGTGATCTGGTCTGTGAGCAGACAGACGGTCCGCAAGATCACCTGCTCCTTCCAGGTCCTCCACTTAGTAGCTGAGTGGAAACACTTTGCACTTTTTGGGGTAGTATTACCCACAATAAAACCAAAAATGTACACTTTTTGGGTCTTCTGAATTCAGCAACCAAGTCCAACTTGATTGATTGTTCACCGCAGCTGTCAGTATCAAGAGAGTCTTGGTCGTGAAGCGCAACAAGGGGGCTTCGTGTCAACACTCCTCAACCCTGACCCTCAGAGAAATGTGGCGGTGGTAATGTAACAGTCAGGTAGCCTCTCCGAACCCAGGCTCTCAGCGTAGTTGCCCGGATGAAACTGTACCACCGCAGCCCTGTCGTTGGTATGCAGTTCCCGAACCTCTGCAGGAAGCGAAGCGGAGGTACTACGATCGAAAGCTGATGTGCGGTTCCGAGAAGCGAGCTGCAGAGACTTCAGGGTTTAGGGGCACCAACAGAAACATGCGACGCCGATACACAAATGCCTGTACAGACGGCTCGTTGAATCTGTATGTATCTGTACATGTCTATGTCTGTTTACATATATACATCAGTTTACATTTACATGTACATGTATGTGTACATGATTGTACATGTATATGTATATTTACCTATTTGGCATGCATGTATGATTTTTATGGTATTAGTATGCTGTTTATACAAAATACCTACGCAGCTCGTGTTTGTGTGTGTGTTTAAAGGTAATGGGTCATACATGCATGTATTTATTTGTATGTTAGTGTCTTTGGGTGTGTGCGCGTGCCTGTTTGGGGCTGTGTACCCATAGTCACAAAGCCAGAATGATTGTTCATTTCATGAGAACATTTATTCCTGTGCTCACCTGTAGTTGTTAGCCTTGGAGTGCCCTGGTACTGTTGATTTCCTGACACATCATCGTTTGCTTGGTTGATTGGTCACAAATATCCACACACACACACACTCTGCAAAAGATCCTTTTGAGCCTACATGCCCTGTACACACAAGAATCACTTGAGTACTTGCCGGCTGCTCGATCGTAGCTTAATCTTGAAGAAGCCAAGGTCGGTGGATGTGCTCCAGCCCTTGGACGACGAAGAGCGCCAACAGGTGCAGTGCTTCATGAGTTCATGCAGCGCTTGTTCGCTTGCTCGTAGTGCAAACTGCGCAGGTGATCGAGTGCCTGAGGCTGGCGATTCCGGTTGCAGTAGCTTCTCCACCCCTCAGCCTTGGCACTGCTAACCTCAACGGTTTGGAAGGACTCGCCACTACGACCCTGGTTATGTCATCATTCGGGAGGGTGAAGAAGGACCCGTGGACGGAGGCAAAGCATCCCTGGTCATGACGTTGTGACCATGCAAGGACACGAGTTCTTCCTCTTGATAGAGGGCACCGCGACTGTGTCGAAGGACTGCCCTGCCGTGACGTCTGCCAATACTAAGGCATCCCGAGCCATTGTTATGTTCCGTGATTTGCACTGAGAACGGCCGTGAGCTCAAGACCTATAAGCCTTGATCTCAGCGGCTGTTTCATCCCGCCCAGAAGCATCCGACATGTATTGCCTTATCATCGCCCGTTTAGGCCCGGTGACTACTTCGGCGAGCTGGCGTTGATGCATGCGAGGTGCGGGCTCAGGTCTCCTGCGCGGAGAGTGCCGCTTCACAAGTCCTCGTTCCAGTCCTCGTGCGGCCACCGTGACGGCCACGGACTTCTGCACGCTGGCGGTTCTTGCAGAGAAGGACTTCCGGAGGTGCCAAGGATTCGACCGAGCCTGAAATTGAGCTCGTATTCCGATTATCAGTCGTCCTAGTATCCCTTTACTTAGCATCCCTCTTCTTAGTATTCGTCTTCGTCTTCCTTCCCGCTTGGCGAGTGTAGCCTCCGCTGTGTGCAGCCGCTTCGCTTGGTGCAGGTTGCTCGGGCCCTTGGCCAGCTTTCACGAAGAGGAGGGTCGCTTGGTGCTTAGTTCCAGGGCTCGTTTTGTGTCGAAGCAAGATGACAAGGAAGTCTCAACTCGGGGCCTCTTGCTTCTTCTGTGGATATGCAGATACGTTGCATTCATCGAACGTAGGTCGACCGTCTCGCTTGTCTCGTACTTCCTCACCGCGCCAATCCTTTGACGTGGCAGGCGCCGGTTTTTTTCACTTACTGAGTGTGGCATGTTGGCAATGCCGCGACGGCAAGTTGTATTCATCGGACATCGCTTGCTGGAGGTCGACCATCTCGCTTGTCTCAAGCTGCTTCCTCCCCTCGGCAATCACTTGATGGACCAGGCACAGGCTGGCGTTCATAAGTATGTTCCTTCGCTGAGTGTGGCATGTTGGCAATGTCGCGATGGCAAGTTGCGTTCATCCCACGTCGTTTGCTGGAGGTCGAGCATCCCGCCTGTCTCAAGCTGCTTCCTCTCCTCGGCAATCGTTTGATGGACCAGGCAAAGGTTCGCGTTCCTCAAGTATGTTCCGTTGCTGAGTATGGCATGGTGGCAGCGTCACCACGGCAAGTTGCATTCATCGGACGTCGTTTGCTGGAGGTCGACCATCTCGCTTGTCTCATGCTTCCTCGCCGATCCCATCCGTTGACGTGGCAGGCAAAGGCTCTTGTTCATGAAGAATGTTTTTTGCTGAGATTGGGGTTCGGCCGTGGGTGCACATACGACCTGCCGGTGCACGGCAAAATAAGCAGCAAGCCTTTTGGTTTGGGTCTGTGCCCGGCCAATGTCCCAACATAGATGGACTTTGTTGTCAGGTGAACCCCGACGAGTTTCTCACAGCCGCAGCACCATCGCAGGCTGGAGAACCGTGCTGAGCAAAGCTGTTACGCTTTAATAAACCCCGTCCGGGCTGTGTGCATTAGGGTTCTTGGAGGCTTGCAAATAACTGTGGACGGATACTTGTGAGGATGCCGAGAAAGCTGCGTGGAGCACCCCGCACAGCGCAACTCGTGCCTTTAGCTGCAAAATAAACTGTCGATTCTTCGCTTCTAGAGGACATGCGGACATATGCCACAGGGCCAATGACGTGTGTCATGTCTATAGCGAGCAGCCAAGTGGAGGTATCCGGCAGCCAGACCGTCAAGAATGTCGTGCCGATGAGTAATTCGTTCGGCTTTGCATCGTCAACCGGGCTTCGCATCTTACCAGGCCGTCAACTACGCCTGTTCATGGCGGTAGACCTGCTGCTGCTTGAAACTGTAGCAAGTGAAGACTACGTCTGTGCCGTTCGAGCGGGAGTGGTCAGGGACTAGGGTGGCGTAGAACCACGTACGGCCTACATTGCCCAAGACCGTATGATTGGAAGCCTGAAGGAATGAGGCTGGATTCAAAGTCTCCAGATCCGCCTTGCTCTTCGCGGTCACGGTTTCGGTTGCAGCGCCTGGGGTTCTATACGGCTTTGGGATTCGCGTTCCAGGCATCCAGCCGTGGGCCAGGCTTGGAGAAGTTGTGGGGCTCTTTTTGCGAGTAGCCGGCTCCCGTCGTGACCGCAGAATTCGCAATTGCCCACATTTTAGGGGAACTTGAAGGCTTTCCCTTCCAGGCACTGTAGGAGGACTCTGGAGAACTGGCTCTGGAGTTTGGAGATTCGGCCAAGCCGCATGATCCACTTTACAACGGGGGGGAGGATGCTGAGACAACCTTCCTTCCCGTGCCTTGTCTCGTCTTTCCCTAGAGCTGCATCCGAGCTTTCCTCAAATGCCGAGGGACATGGACCGTTATGGCTGGGTGGCGATTTGCCGTCGATGAATAGAGCGATTGCGTCACTGCGATCGCTGCAAGTCCACCAAGTGAGAGAAGAGTTCCCAATGGATGGGCAGTGTGCATTGGTAGGCCGTCCGCGCTGCGAACGGTATTGTCGGCCGTTCTCCCCAGCATGGGCCTCAATGGCACGGCGCGGCACGGTGTGCAGGCATAGTGTGAGACGTGATCTTGGCCATGGTCGACTTGCAGTTTACAGCCAAGTTGGCGCCTGCATTTCAAGAGACCTTAGGAAGATCGTGAATCTGGGGGTGACGCTGGCCTCCAACGCGAGCAAGTATGTTTCTTTCACAAAGGCCCAGCGCTCAGCAAGATGTTTGGTAACTGTGTTCGGGGGCGTGACACTTACACGCAAAAGCCGCCTGGTCCAAGGTCGTCGGCAAGAAAGACTGAGATCTGCTTGAAGTTTGTGAGCTGTGGATTTTTCCTCAGGAGAGCAACGTGCAAGATTGAACCATGACTTCACGTACCGGCGTCAGTGTAGCGAGATGTAGACAGGGCACAACCAGGCGTGCAAGTGTCAGCACAGCCCTTGCTCTCCCACAATTGATTTAGATTGAGCTCACGGTGTCACCCAAGTGTGGATGGAGGAGCCTCGGCTTGATTCAGAGAGCCAGTAGATGGTCCCGGTTTATGCGGCGATTTAGGGACTGTTTGGGGCACTGGCTAGTTTTCTGCATCATGCCAGCTTGTTTCGGAGTTTAGTAAGGGGATGCAACACTCTCCGGAATGAAGCGTGGGATGGGCCATTCTTTAGCGTCTGAACTGCGAACATGTCAATCTCCCGTTTTGCTGCAGTTGATTCGTTTCTATCGTACGTTCCCGTCCACTTATGGAGGTTCATGGGTAGTTTTAGGCTAAGAAGGGCAACTATAATCACAACCCGTATTGGGGGACTTATCACCCTACTTTAACTACCCATGAACCTCCCGTCCAGAGTTTTTCACTCCTATTGGAGGACTTACAACCCTACTTAGAACTATCCATGAACCTCCCGTCCCAGGGTTTTTCGACCGTCCCAGGGGCACTGTGTGCAGCTGTGGAACGAGCAGATCTTCTGCAGCCCTTTGCTCCCGCCTCGGTAAAAACGGAAAAAGAAACCTTAGACTGGACATAAGCCATGGTAGTATGGCAGCAGTCATAGGTGGACATAGGTATACTGTTCATGATCATGGACTGCGGTACACATCTGATCGTCGTTGTTTCTTCAGGCTTCGACTTTCGATTCTTCAGCTTCCTGTACCAGTCAAAGTGCAGACCTCAGGGTTTCGTCCTGACCCGCGAGTTCGCGAACCACGCTTATTTTATTCAGGGAGCTGTATCGTAGAAGAGCTTCCCAAGATGCCAGCACCTATTCGGACAAGATGCAGCACTAACGCTGTGTTGTGCATCCCGCAACAGAGCCTTCGCCCTGACCCAATGGCTGCTTTGAATGCTTCTGTACTGAACTCTTCCCTCTCTACCAAGGTATTTTTTTAAGTTCAGAAGCGCCCGGATCCAGCGGGTGAGCAGGCCTCATAGTGCACTGCCTTATCGTTGCAGAGCAAAGCTGCTCAAGATGTGAACAAGAAGGCCACAACTGGAGCAGTGATAAGACTGCCAGCGGTTAAACAATACTCAGTCTGCCCAGATTCTTGTCTGTCTTCATTGTTTTCGTGGGATGCTGGACGCCCGAGCAGTTTTGTGCACCAAGTGCATCGTGGAAGCATGAACGCTTCCAAATTGTTGAGTCTCACTCGAAGTGCCTACATCCACCAAGTCGGCACAACATCACACGGCCGTCAGTCTCCGACCCCGACTCAAGCCCGGCTAAAACCAGCAGGTGGAGCCTGTCATTTCGAGATGTCTTCCTGGGACCGCAAGAGACACTGGCACGGACACGGTCCGCCGCTTTAAGGACCTCTTGCCCTTGACAGGCCCCAGCGGTTTTTTGCTTGGCCCTATGCTCTGCCTCCTGGAGAAATGCGCCAGTGCCCTCCCGGAGGCGAAGCTGAAGGAGGGCCGCGATAGGGACATTTCCTGCACGTGCCGACGGTCCTTCGATGATGTTTGAGTGGGTGTGCACCTGGGAGACGATATAATATAAGCCCTCATCTGAGCACGTCGCGCTTTCGGACGTTGGCCTAGTTTGTTGAGAGCATCGCCGACGGTCTGACGACGAGTCTTCGCGATGCCGCCGCTGCCGAGCTCATCAAGAGCATTTTAAGGGTTTGTTCAGCCGATCCATAAACTAACACTACTCGACCATGAAGCTATTTGAGAGCACCAGTTTATCTAACGTCCCATGATACAATGTGTCATCCTGTGGTCCAGAGAGCATGTGCTGGGCGGATCACTGCTCAATGACGCTCATACATTCAAATTCGCGCATCCTTTCCCAAAAAAGCTGTTCCACCACGTCAGTCTGCCACGTGCTCGGCAGTCTCATGCGTTCTGCAATGCTGGATGGCACTGTTTGTCCTGTTTGATGCATGTTCGCATGCCCAACGTGATATGCCAAAAGCGATAAATCGCTGCCATCTTGCAGGTGGGGTTTATTGTATGTTTATGTAGACAAGGACACAGCATGTGGCATGCGGTCACTTAGTCAATCACAGCCGTCTTCGCAGCCTCCTAGCAAGAGATTTTCTCAAGAACAAATGTGCCTCCAGTAATCTGTGCGGCAGCGACCTGAAGTCCAAGTGAGTCTCCACAGCCTTCATGCCTTTGCCCAAAGCCGGCAAACGGGGAACCCGAGGACAGCCAGGACCGGACCTGTCCGTCGTTTTCGGGTGCTGACATCCCTCACCTCATGTGCTTCTCGTCGCAGGACGCAGCTTGGGTGCTGTGCCTGAGGGACCTTCAGCTTCTGGGCTCAATGCGAAGCTGTGCATAAGGTGAACCGCTGCTCTAGATGTCGGCACGGTGACTGCCGTCATGTAACAGAAGCTGTTTTCTGTTTTGAAACTCCGAGGAAGCGAAAAGGCCGATCAGCTTCGGCAATGCCCGGCACTTAAGCATACAGGGGATTTAAGCGCAGGCGAGAGCCTCGGACGGCACAGATAAAAAGGGATCCCTTTGAGGGTGATTTCTGAAGAAATCTTGACTGCTCCACTTGCTCCGGTCCTCGGCAAGGCGGCGTCGCCGAACGTGGCTGCCGCCGAGGAGGGGCCGCAGAGGGTCGTGCGGCGCATTCGGCGCAGCCATCTCTAGCCGTTGCAAACTGGGTGGAGACAGCAAGCGCGATGCATGTGGGGCTTCTGGGCTTCCGATCGTTCCGGGCTGATGACGGGGTCACCGCTAGGCTCGTCCAAATCTGTACCGCGACCTTCCGTCTTGACATGTAGTGTATCATGTACGGTTTGTAGACTTATATCATGTAGTATATACGGCCTGTACGTGACACATAGTATACTGTAAGATATCTGGCGCCGGACCTTATGAGATGATGGAAGCTCAAGGGCTGCTTTCTGGCTTCAAAACCCCCAAACCCTAAACCCTGAACCCTAAGACAAGGGGAGCCAAGCTCAGCGGCGTCTTCCGGAGCCTCTCCTGTCCGGCCGATCGGACAGGGCAACGAGCCCTCAAAGCTGAAGTCGAAGTTCAGCAGCCTCAGCAGCAAGTCCACCGCCAGCCGCTGCCTTACCTTCACTTCGCCGCTGCGATCTTCAGTCTTCGAAATTTGCAGTATCAGTTTCTTGACGAGCTTGGGAAGAGAGGGGGGGATGGGGGGCAGTGACCGAAGTGATTGCATCAGTCATCGGTGTTTCGAGGCTCCGAGACCACCATGGATCACCTCAGCCCGACGGTGGAGAACTAAGGAATGCTGGTGGCCGTTGTAACAGCTGCTCCCTTGTTCTTTGTTTGGACTTCTAAGGTGGCCAACATGATGACGGGATGGAGGCCATTTTGGTAAAACCCTTCTCCTCTCCCGCTTCGACTGGAGAAGCCGGCTTGTGCCCCCGGCCCTGCCATGGCCCCCGGAGGTCTGCAACGGCGGTGCCGACGATCAACAGCCCGTTGGAAGAGCGGTGCACCGCCCCGCCGCCGAGAGACATGACATGATTTACAACATGTTTCTGAGCTGCATGGCCGCAGCGCACTCTGTGGGTGGAGGTACATCGTGACGCGAAGACTGGGCGAGGGGAAGCCGCGCACCCAATTCCAGAAAAAGCCTTAGACTTGCTTAGCTTTGTTATGGAAAGCAAGGTTCGGAACGGTCAGCTTGGCGGTGGGGAGCTCAACGCTTGATCCTGAAGCCTCAAGCATGTTGATGTAGTTCAGGTAAAAAGGGGCACCAACCAGAAGTACGCGGTCAAAGTCATGCCTGCCTACGGGGCACCTCGGCCGACGTGGAAGCTAGCACACGCCGGATATTATGTCTGCGTGGGTTGACCCGCTCCCCTTTATAGCCGTCTCGTGTCATGGCCAATGGATGAACATGCGAAGCATTGGAACGCTTGTAGCTTCGTTGTTTGGGGCAAGACGGGCGAGGTTGCAGACTAGTTTCTTGAGAGTTGTGCTCTGTAAGCCTGCGGAATGCCCTGTCCTCAAGGCGCTGTCAACTCGTCGGTGTTGCAGTGGCCGGGGGGAGTGGAGAGACATGGGAGAGCTCCGGTAGGAGTCAGGCCCTGGCAGGCAACTATGATACCGAAGCTCTATCTGTCTACCTATCAATCTTTGTCAATTTCTCCATCTATCCCTACTGTTCTTCTTCTTGAAGCCAATTAAGGCACTGTGCCTGTTTCGGGAGCGGCCGAGGATCAGGAGATGCACATCACCAAGTGCCTCAGCCATCCTCACATCGTTCGACTCCATGTCGCTGCCTCGGGCAGGGAGGTTTAAATCAGTTTGCAACCACTACATTACATGTGCTGACCTTCTTGGGTAGAAGCAGAGAGGCTACAGTAGCTTCTGTCTATCGTACTGGAGTCCTGGCATCGCTCAGGAGACCGTTCGCAGTCAGAGCTCCCTTTGTCTCATTCTCGACCTTTGCCTCGGCGGAGATCTTCACCAGTGGATCTCCCAGCGCTTTCGAAAGGACCGGCGGCCGAAGAGAGCGAGTGCAGACAGTCCTTCTCGAGAAAGCCCTTGGGCCTTGGATGCCCAGGCTGAACTATATTATATATGGGAGTTTCCGAAAAATTGGGGGTACCACCAAATATTTAGGGTACCCCAAAAGGGACCATAATGTTGACAACCACGCCTTTTGCTTGAGGCAGGCCTAGTGCGGTCTGTAAAGTTTCTAGCATCGTAATTGCAAGAAAAACAGCAAGCGGCGGTGATGAAGCGGTTTTCAGTCCCAGCAAGAGTTGCTGACGCAGAGTAGCCCTTACTGCCTTTCACTGTTCTTGTCGCGGTTGCCACCCTTCCCACTGCTTCACCACCATGCCCGCCATGACCACATATGACCACCATCACCACCATCACGACCACCGCCATGATCGCCATGACCGTCACCATCATCAGGAGCGTCAAAACCATGGTGATGAGTAGTCGTCGTTGTCATCTTCATCATGTTCAACGTCACTGTCATCATGACAATGGAGGACAAGGACAAGGGCCCCGGCCAGTACCGCACGCCGCGCCGCAGCGAGGCTCAGTCGGGCCCGGCGGGTTTCCTGCAGAGTTGTACAAGTGTGCTTGGGTGATGGATCTCTTGGGTTGGGCCGCCAGCCGCTGAGTTTCGGGAGGTTGTGTTTGCTTTGAGGCACCGCATAACATGAGCCGCGGCACCGTGATCTTATCGATCTGCCTTCGCCCCACTCCTCCCTCTCCCCTCTGCCCTCTCCCCTCTCCCCTCTCCCCTCTCCCCTCCCCTCTCCCCTCTCCCCTCTCCCCTCTCCCCTCTCCCCTCTCCCCTCTCCCCCTCTCCCCTCTCCCCTCTCCCTCTCTCCCCTCTCCCCTCTCTCTCTCCCCCTCTCCTCTCCCCTCTCCCCTCTCCCTCTCCCCCTCTCCCCTCTCCCCTCTCCCCTCTCCCCCTCTCCCCTCTCCCCCCTCTCCCCTCTCCCCTCTCCCCCTCCCCCTCTCCCTCTCCCCCCTCTCCCTCTCCCCTCTCCCCTCTCCCTCCCCTCCCCTCCCCTCTCCCTCTCCCCTCTCCTCTCCCCCCTCTACCCTCTCCCCTCTCTCCCCTCTCCCCCTCCCCCCCTCTCCCCTCTCCCCCTCCCTCTCCCTCTCCCTCTCTCTCTCTCTCTCTCTCTCCCTCTCTCTCTCGGAGGTGGCTACGTTTGTATGGCAGATGCTGACGGCCGTCGCATATCTCCACCACCACAAGTGGGCTGGCTGCGTTAAACTGGTCTGCCACATGTGCAGAGTAGGAGTGTTGTGTTTGAAGCAGATCTAGCTGCAGCTCGCTGGACGGTAACTGCGCAATTCAAGACAGGCTTGTGGCCAGTCGAAGGGAGTGGAGACGTCAGCCAGAGTCAGCCAAGGATTGCCCACCGGGACATCAAACCAGGGAACCTTCTTTTAGAGGATCCTTCAGCCCCGATGACCTTGCCTCTAGACTGAATGTGCTCCCAGCCTTGTCGGGTGATCCTCATGCACGCGTTGGAGCGTATCGGTTTAAGGGCAGGTTCATCATAAAGTTTCTCGTCTTCAGGAACGTTTCCCAAGTTGACGGTCTTTTGCTTTCTTGCCTTTCCTGCTGGGCATTCGGGGCCTCCCGTGGTTCCTTTTATCACTGTCCGCCATCCTATGTGGGGTTCTGGTCGCCGGTTTCCGTCGATTGCCACACTCCTGCAGAATACTTCTGCAGTGCCAAGGACGGTGCTTCCTATCGTAGCATTTCTTGTTCTTGAGGACCATCAATATCGCAACATCCTCAGAATTGCTTGTATGACAGGTACGATAGAAGGACCAGGCTCATAGGGGTCAATAGACAGGACCATGCAGTGCATTAGCAATATGTAAGATCCAGATCCTTTAAGTCACAGATCATATTCAAAATAGATCATATTCAAAATCATCCTTATCGCCATCACCATCATCATCACCATCACCATCACCACCGCTACCATCATCGTCAGCACCGTCGTGGGATTTTAAATATGTTGCATGCGGAATGTTTTGAGTGACTGAACCCTGTTAATCGTGTCTGCCGTCGTCTCTCGTCAGTCGTCTTCCGAAGCTGACTGAGCACAGGGCAAACTCCTAACCTAACGCCTTGCACCGGAGACACGTGCATGTGGTGGCACTTGCTAAGGAAACTCGCAGATTTCAATCTTGCGTGCAACTTCCGGAAGGGGCAGAAGCTGTCCTCCCGATGTGGGTCATTAATGTACCTGGCTCCCGAAGTGATTCACAAGTCTTACACGGAAGCTCGGCTGTCTCAGTTTCAGAGAATTCCGGAGTGCAAGCTGCTTGCGCCTTCAGTGAAGAGGGGAGGGGTTCAGGCTGTGGACCTGCATGCTCTGAGATCTGCATGTCAATGTACATGGCGGGTCAAGTTGCCAATGGATTGATCTCAGGAGCGCTGTGATATTTGGAGTATTGGTGTGACTTTCCAGGACTTGGCAGCCTGGCAACGAGCAAGAATTCCAGTGCAACGAAGTATTCCTCGCACGCTCACCTTTTGGTCTTGCAGGACTTGGTCACGGGGGAGGCCCTGTGGCAGGCGCAGGAGGAGCCGCAGATTGAGAAAATGATCCTGCAACAAAGTAACCCGGCTGCGGAAAGAGCGTCCCGTGCCACGAAGCAGAAGGATGGCACATTCTGACCTGCTCACATCTGAGAACCGGAGCTCCGCAGCAGACACTGGCTGCTTTGCTGCAAGCATTGAGGTCTCGGGATCGGGATTACCGTTGCAGCCCTTAAGGCGCTCCAGTCGGGTTGGATTCTTTGTAGCATCAAGATACGTGCTCACATCTTCAGTAAGCGAACAACGCCGTTCTTGACTGTCGCCATCATCAGTGGGGGGAGTCCCGGCATACTGCGACGACGTGGTATCCAGTATTCACATTCACCCTTTTCCACGACGCGTCCGCTCAGCATTCTCGGGCGTTGGGTGGGGTCTTCAGTCTTTTTTATGACTCACCGCACCTGTAACGTAGTGCCATTCAAAAGAGTGTTGGTAGTATTGTAGCTGCGGGAAGGCTTGCGATGTTTAGCTGCATTCGGGTTCGTGGTTGCTACCAGCTTACCTGGCAGTGGTTGGAACACTCTACTTGTGAACGATCCTCACAACGACCCTGGCCCGAACCTTCAGAAGCTGACGTATGAGAAGAACAAGCGGAGATAAGGAGCAGCCACGGCGAGGCATCGCAAGATGCAAGCTGCGGGTTCGGTGCTTCACCAGGGAAGCTTCTTAAATACTACCCGGTGGCCCAGGGTTCCAGTTTCAAGTCGTTAATGCGCCCCATCAGATCGCAGCTTCCATCTGTTCGTCGTTTCCTAGCCGCTGCTCCTACTTACTGTAGCGAGGATGATCCTTTCTGCTTCTTCTTCAGCCTGGGGCTAGGACCTCGCTTATCTTGGCTTTTTTGGGGTTTAGGGTTTGGGGCTTCTTTGTCCAGGCAGATGAAAAGACCTATATTCGTCGTTGGAACATGCACCAAACGTGGCACTCTCTGCCTCCTTGAGCCGTCCTCATCGCCGTCACTTCTTGTAGCTATAAGGCTATAAAGTGATGAGCATGTCTTTAGTGAGCCGAATGCTTTGGGGCCTTGTCAGGGTGCAAAGGAGCTCTTCTGCCAGCTCACCCTCCGCGAGGAAATTCAGGGAAGCTATGCTAGGGCCCTGCCGAAACGTGTATTGACTACAGCCTCGTCATCGTACCGCGAGAAGGGACGTCTTTTGCATCTGTAGAGCAGTGTGGAGAGGATGCCGGAAGACCTTCCGCCACAGATGCCGTTGAGAACTCTTGGCTGCGCAGGCGATGACGACTTTTTCCACAGTTCTGTTGCACACCTGTCGCTACCGTGCTGGCTTCCTCTCCCTGCCTCTCACCGCTTTTGTTAGGCATCGGCGCGGCAAAGACATGTGCTGCGCCATTAGCTGAGCTGAGCAGCCTTCTTCCATCTTCGGCAGAAGTAGCTGTATGAGCCCCGGATGATTACAGTATGGGTGCTGGGGACAACACACTCAAGCAGCATTAAACGCGGTTTCGTGATCTGGAGCATTGCTGCCGACATTTTTACGGGACTGCCTTGCAAGCGCCACTGTGCCTAAACATAAGTCGCCTCCGACCTATGTTAAAGAGAACGAAGCTTCATTGAAGGCCTGCAAATGCGATCATACGCAACGTGACATTCGGCCGGGTGCAGCTGGTGGCTTTGCAGATGCAGCCTTCCCACTGAAGTGTAGATCGTGCACGTTTAGTGCATTTGCTGCTGCTTCGGCTGTATGCCCACCACGCAGCCTGTTCACTGGGCACAGTCCTTTTGCAGGTCTGTGGTTTGATTGAGTCACGCTTGCGCAAATTTCTGCGCAGGGAGTTGACTGTTAGTGCTTTTCGTCAGCTGAAGCTCATGACCCTGTTGTCACACCATGCCGAGAGTCAGCTGACGCAGCTTTTCAAGCGATTTTTTCAACGACAATACCACTGGTCGGGGGAAGCATGTGTGTCGAACAAAGCGCAAAGAAGTGGGCTCGGGACACTCCGTGCTATTTGCAGTCCGTTGCCAACCGGCGGCAAAGATTAGCAACCCATAAACTTCCCACTGACAGGTGTGAGCAGGTTGAAAGCTACCATCCTTAACTGCTCGTGACCTGGTCGGCACGAACGCTACATACCCAGACTCCCGGGAGGATCCAAAAGTAGATCCCTTAATGGGGGTTCCTATAAAGTCCCCTTAATAGTATAGGCCCCCAAATCAAGGGATCTACTTTTGGATCCTCCCAAAGTCTGGGTACAAGTGTGGGACAGGGTCGCAATTTCGGAAGGTGCGCAGCCAGCATCCCAGCTCGATGTCTCGCTCGGGGGGACAACGCAGCCAATGCCCAGGCGTTGGCCATGGCAGTTGAGCATTTTGAGCCAGGCACCTGTGATTCCTGTCATGAATCCCAAATTGACGGTACTTGGGGCAGCCGCATCAGGTTAGGCTAGGCTCTCAGCTGTTTCCAGGGTCGGGTAAGCAAGAAGAGAACCATGGTGACCTTGGCATTTACATCTGTCCGTGCTCTTCTTCGCCTCCGGAGTGCTGTGGGATGCTTCGTTTTGAGATCCTGGGTGAGCTTCTACAACCAACGTCGACTTAGCCAGCGCGATGGCTGAAGTTCACCCAGGTCCGCTCTGGCCCAGCTAGAGCCGACCCACTCTCGAAGGGAGTGGTAAAGCTGAGCTGCTTGAGACATGGTGTGTGCATGAGAAAAGAGATGTCGGCGATCTTGGCAAGGACCTGAGACTTGGAAATTTTCAAGAGGCCTGACACCGTCTGACACCCTAAGCCTGAAAGGCTGGCGCTCTGCCTGAAAAGCTTGGCTCGAAGGAAAGAGCATATGATTTGCCAGCCAGATCAAACCAATACCGCTCGAAGCACAGGAGCAGTCGGTTTACGATATGTTGCAAGACTGAGTTGAAGAGCATACCTCAAATCCAGGGCTTGCAGCCACTGCTAGCATCAGCCCAGCTCCAGGCATCGCCCCTTCCGGACTCCAACCGGGTCCCTTTGTTCCCTCTCGTCTCCGTCGTGGCGCCCGGTGCGGTTTGCTTGGCAACCATGGCGGCCGGCATGCAGCAGTCTTCGTCGGCCGAGAGGCGCCACCAGTAAGCTGCGCTGCAGCGGTAGAACTCGAAGGTGCTTAGTCCAGTTTGGTCTGATCTGCCGCAGAAGTGTGAAGCCATGGCATGGCATGCTCACAGTCGAGCTGTTTCTTCGTGGATAGTTTCCCTCCTCGATATCGACTGTTCTCGACATTCTCTCGAGCTGCGCAGGCTGGACTGGATGTATGAGCAGAGTGCGGCATCCGTCAAGCCTGATGAAGACACCCTGATGAATATGCCCATCAACGCCCAGAAGGACTTTGATCTGCTGCAACGTTCAAGGGTTCGCGGCTCTGGGCCCGCTTTCTGCTTACATTTTTCGGACTTGCATGCTCTGCAGCCGGGAGCACCCCGGGGTGCATGTCATTGTCTTCCGCCGTCGGGCAGCAGGACAAGGACATCGAGGATGTGAAGAATCTGCAGCACCTCGGCTCAGACCCGGGAAGCTCAGACCCGGGAAGGGAGAGAGAGAAGAGCAAGAAGGAGAAGCTTCCACGTGAGTGCGAGAGCTGAAGCAGATCCAGGGGACAGCGTTTAGCACAGCTACCTCTCTGACCTATGGGTGGTTGTCAACATTATGGCCCCTTCTTGGGTCCTTATTTCAGTACGGCACCAAATATTTAGGGTGTCCAAAAAGGGACCATAATTTTGACAACTACCCATATGTCGCCCATGTCCACTCTTTGGTTTTTACCTCCGTGAAGCTGCTAAGAGCTTGTCACACCGCCCATGATCCGGTCGGTCACGCGTTCCTCCACGGTCGGATAAAGCACCACGGCACCCTGGCCACCATTCTGCCACCAGGTACAGCAGAGAACAAGGATCGGGAAAACTAAGATGCAAAACGGCGAAGCCGTGTTGCCTGAACTAGTGTATTGCCAACCGGAGGGACTGCAGAGTGGACCTAGGCGGCGTGGAGGTGTTGACAAGTGCAATGGGTTTCATGTGCTACAGAGTGATCTGAGCACGGCAATCACAGGGGGCGTGTGTCAGCAGAATACGCGTGTAGGTTTTCCGTTGCAGACATTGCGGAAAAAGCAGAACGGGTGAAGTCTTTGACACTTTGAAGAAGAACGCCCGTGTAGCTTAGGTCGTGGAGAGTCGAGAGAGTCGTCCTCCTTGAGCCGACAGAAAGCCTGCTCCTTCCCTGACAGGAACTCGACGGCCGGATCGCTCTTCTTGTGCAGCGCGACCAAGACGACTGAGGCTGTGCTTCTGTGACAGTTGAAGCTTCCCTGACGAGTCTCAGCTGTGGTGAGGACATGGTCCGGAAGCTTCGTGAAGATCCGCTGTTCCAGATTCGGCGGCAAGAGCACGCTGCCCGAGAAAGCATGCTTGCTCCTCAGTGGCGGCAACAGCTACTACTTGCGTGGCAGATGTCTGCGACGTCGGGGGTCTTCTGAAATGCAAAGTCTTGAAACCTGCACACAATTGATTCGTCATTAAGGTCTAGAGTCTTGCTTGTCCGGAATTGCAGAAAGGATGACGAACCCGCTCATCATGGCGAAGATCCAAAAGAAGCAGGAAAAGGAAGCAAAGATTCTGGGATGCATAGCTGCTCCCTCCTGGTCCTAGCCTACAGCAGTCTGCAGCAATGCGCGGTCCTTGGTTCTGTCGGACAGCGCCAAGGAAGGCCGCCAAGAAAGAAAAAAAGGCGGCGAAAAAGGAAGAGAAGGCAGGAAGTCGTGGTTCTTCCGATGGCAGCCACTGGGGTCCATATGCCCATTTGCATACCACGACGAATACCAAGAACCCCAAAACCGGAGCATTAGCTACATTTTGCAAGCCAAGCTCGACCAGGTCTGGCCGCAAGGGGTACCAGCTTGGGAGCGGATCTGGGGGGGTGGAGTGCAAGCGTTCACAGAGCACGAGCCCCAGCAGCTCCGGCCGCCACAGCTCCGGAGGTCCAGTGCTCCGGCCCCGCCACTGAAAGAAGCGCTCCATGAGTTGTCGGCAATGGCAGAGATCACGCCAAAAGCGAGTTTGCCGGATCAACATCTTGGAGAAAGTTGCCGTTGCAGGCAAGAGCCAAGAGCGCAAAAACGGAACGAGCAAGGGCCTCCGCAAAGCTGTCATGGTTCTCAAGTTTCGCGATCGAGACTCCTCACAGAAAGCTTATCTCTCCAATGCCCTCGCTAGCAGAACACGCTGCATGATTGTCGATAGCAAGCCCGAGAACAGGGGACTGGCGTAGTGTTGTGCCTCCGGCGAACTGATACTGGTACTGTAACTTTTCTTTCGGGGGCTTTGCACAGTGTACTGTGTGTAGAATCCAGTGTAGAAGATGGGTGAAGCTGGGGGTCAAGTCTGCCTGTGTAAGGAGTCTGCCGGTACTGATTCGCTGTAGACTGTGCGGCTCTTGAACACGGCTTTGACACCTGCAGACGGGTGTGTTTGTTTGTGCATGTCAAACATGGTCTCATTACACCGTGGCTCCGCCTGTTGTAAGCGTTCTGCGCGCACTGCAGAGGGAAGAGCGCGCTTACCAAACACAGCTGAAACAGCAGGCCTTGAAGAAAGTGGCCAAAGCAGCACCTTGAATGCAAAAGCTTGCCCTCTTGACAATGGAGCTGCGATAAAACCCGTCCCCCAGGCCCCCCTGCTGCCCACAACCTAAATCAACACCTAACCGACCTAACCCCCAAGCCGCAACCTGGAGGGCTGAATGTTTCACTGAACCCACTAAGCCACTGAGCCTTGAATACGCCCGCGTTAAGCCAAAAGCACCTTTGTCTGATAAGCGGCTTTATCGCACTGAGACTATCACTTAGACTATAGATGCCCTGGTTCGTGCAGTCACGGAAGCAAGGACGCAGCATGGTCGATCCCCACCCGAAAACAGTCCCTCACCCAAGTTGGGCCTTTAAGGAGTCTGCGCTACGTCTGCCTGAGAAGCAATTCCTTCGTCTTTTGGAGCTCCCGATGCTCTGCTTAGTGCAGTCCTGCCCCGGCCCAGTCCCAGTGAGGCCCCCCTAAACCCTAAACCCTAAACCCTAATCCCTAAACCCTAAACCCTAAACCCTCAAACCCTAAACCCAGTCCCAGTGAGGCCAAGAAGGCCAAGAAGGACTCTTCCAGCGACTCCGAGCCAGCGCCGCCCCCCCGAGCAGCTGCTCGAGAGGCAGGGGGGGCTCCTCTGAGGGATCCGTCTTTGGGGCACACCTTCGCAGGTGCCCTTAAGGGTTATTTTAAGGGTTCCAGTGTTCAGGGCTCTGGGGTTCGGGGAAAGTGTAGGGTTGAGGGTGCGATTGGGGCATACGAAGGGTCTTCAGAAGGGTCTGGAGTTGTTTTTGCTCTCGGGGATTAGAGTCTGAGAAGATTCAGGGATCCTGGTCACACGAAGACCCACCACTATGCTGGCTGACCGAGAAGCATCCAGAGCAACATAGAACGACCTTTGAGAAGGTATGGGTATAGTTCAGCATCCATTTCGGTTCCGGGCTCGAACCTCACGGATCTCTTCCTTGTCCTCGGAGCATCTGATGGAGGCAGGATGAAGGGACCCTAAATCCTAGCTGGGCTCAGGCACCGCCAAAAAGGCCAAGGGAGGAAGAGCACGGCCCTCGTTGCAGAACCAACGTTGGAGAGTACTTCCACGATGCTTTTGCATAGGTTCTTTAAAAGACATAGGTTTTAGGTTTTTTAAAAACCTATGTTACTCTTTTGCAGTGGGCTTTATCATCATTTGCTCGGGGTTTCGTTGTAGGTTTCAGCACCGAGGCCAGACCTTTCTGCACTGGGTCCGAGCAGCGTCGTGGTGAGCAAGCGAATGGAGCACGCCCGATGCCCAGTTTCTGAACAGCCAGATGCACTTGTTCCCAGACCATCCTCGACCCGACTCTGCTCAATGCAAGAGCTGTAGCTATCCCGCACTTATTGGACTTTTCTGGTTGCTATCTGCTCTCGCAGGAGCAGCGTGTTGCCATGCAGAAGGAGCAGGCTTTAGCCAGCCGTGGCTTGGGCAGGCACGGCGTAAAGAGTGTTCCAACGAGAAATGATTATAGAATGAACGAAGGATCGACCTTGTGATTTGTGTCATTAAATGACTTGTACCACACCACACCAAACAGAGTACGATTGCATGTGATGCTGCCCCATTTCAGAAGATGGTCTTAGAAATCAGCTGGCAAGTCCATGCTCATTTCTCGTCGTTGTTTAAGGTCTTGGGTTCCACAGGCACTGACGCCCTGTGTACCCCAGCCAGCTGCCTGAAGCCCCGAAGCGTGCCTGCACCGGCTCCTCAAGTGGCTCAAAATAGACACGCATTTGTGACGGAACTGTGTTCAAAGCAACAATGATGATCAGGATAACCAGCGGTTGTGACCCGGATGTTGGTTTGAGTTGAACTATCGGTTGTGGCTGCTGTCAACAATTGGCCTTCGGAGCCCGCCAACAGAGCAAGTACGGTAGAACGAGTTTCAGCATACTAAGCTAAGGACCTTGGTTGTATCGGTGCCCGCATGTTAGTGGAGTTGGGTTGTTGAACTATGACGCGCACCGATTAGTCTCTGAGTCATTGAAGTGGGTTTCTAAGAAGCACCGGTTGCCACCGCTGTGCTGGAGATATTTTGTTACAGGATGGCTGTGACTGCACCAGCGGTGTGAGCTCGGGACTAGGTTTCTAGATTGTAGATTTCCGCATGGAACTTGGCGTGCCAACAGTCTGATGCCAGCGGTCAGTGTGTGTGTGTGTGTGTGTGTAAGGAAAGGACGCAAGCGGATTAAGAAGAACCGAAGCTCTGAACCCAAAAGCTTAGAATGAAGAGGCGGCTCACCGAAGAGGAGAAAGAGCGCCGGGTGGAACAGATGCGGGTCGGACACTCACACTCCGGTCCATCTGAATGGGTGGGGTTGCTCTGCTTTGAAGTTGTTCTTAAGATCTCTCGTCATTCAGATGTAGCGCACGGTACTTGAATGATGGGAAAACTGAAACGTGACACTGCAGGTGGACGCCAAGAAGCACGAGAAGCCACTTCGGCTGTTTCAACATCTGTTTTTCCCTGTGCCTGTTCCTTCTTCTTTCCCTTCACGCATTCCGAAGCAGTCAGGATGAAAGATAACCGTATCGCCAGCACTGAAGAGCGTGAAAAGCAAATCGAGGACGGTGTCATGCATGCATGCGACCGAAAGGCTTGCCGATCACCGTCTCTTCACAGCGTTTATCCCAAACCAATGCAGGAATTGGAGGCCAAGATGCGCGACAAATCCGACCAGCACCTTGTCTGAACAGCAGCATAATCTTGCAGCCGTTTAGAAGCAGTTTGGGCTGCTTCAGTTCCGCCCCCTGCAAAGCATCCCTCTATAAGAGATGCAGAAGGGACTTAGAGTGAATGCCAACGGGTTGATAAAAGGGCTTAGGACAGGGATCCGGAGGTCAACGGAGGGTGTGCATCTCTCAAAGATTTTCTTCGGCTCCATCCGCCCGCGTTGTTTACGAACCCCAGAGCAGCACTACGAGAGGAGAGGACTCCTGTCCGCATGATTAGTGAGTAGTAGGCATGAGAGTAACCTACACCAAGGCAGGTCCACATGTGTCTTCGGCCTGGCTCTGCTCTGAGGAAATACTTCCGAGACTTGCGCAAGGACGCTTATGCCGGCGATGCAGAGGCGCCTTCCCGGATTTGGGATCTGAAGGTTCATGGCATATGACTCTTGCAAAGGGTAGTCTTTCCGAAGCTCTATCTTGTGTTTACAGCAAACGTGTCAAGCGGCGCTACATTCTGACTGAAGCTTCCGCCTTGCTGGCATAGTTGTGGCGCAGAGTGCACGCTTGCATCTCACGCAGATGACGATGGCTGATCGGCTTCAGACCCAGCGTCACCGCCGGCAGAAGCCTCTTGCCGCAAATTCTCTTTGGCCTGAGGGCTTACACAATTAACATCTGTGTGCCATCATCAGTGCTGTCTCTGGCGAGCATGCCCTTTCCGGAGAGTCGTAGTCGCTGGAAGCACGAACAGAACAAGCGCAATCTCCCTACCTAGCTGAGATGCATCTGGCCGGGTAGCACTTGGGTCCCTGAGTTTGTAACTTTCCAAAGTGCATTCTACGGCTACATGCATCTGGGTCAGGCTTTGTGCAGTTGCGGTTTCCGATTGTCGAAACGACTTCCGCATTTCTCCTGCACGACTGACGGCTTTTTCGCTGAGGCACCTCAACGTCAGGGACTCAGAGAAAGACAGCGTATGCCGTCTGTCCAACCCCGTGGAATTCAAGCAGCCCGAGATATTTGTTGCTGTGCAAGTGGTTGCTGAGGATCCACTAGAGCGAGATTGAGCCAAGTGACGTCTGAGCTGGACGGTTGATCTGCTCGATGGACAGGTTTGGGACAGCCGCACTGCGACCATCCCCAGTGCCATCAAGTTAATGTTTGTCGGTGTAGCCAGTCGATGAAGAAAGGGTGCGTCAAGTCGTCGAGACCATCTTTGGTGACATCTAGGCCTTGCAGTGACATCACATCATCCGAGAGTCTTTGAAGCTCCTTTCTTCGTGACATGGCCTGCTGGCCGCCATTCATGTGCAGAGCAAGAAATTCAGCACGTGTTCTCAATGTCTTTGGGTTTGTGGCTCAGATGCGAACTGTGAGATCATGGTGTCCCAGATTGCACCTAAATCCTCTACACCCCTGTTGGAGGACAAGCCGGCATCATGGGTCTGGTTGCTCAAAGCGTAGCTAGGCTTCGCTGAGGGCCCGTGGCTTTATCACGCCTGCGCCTTGGCCGACAGGCAAAGATTGCTGCACAAGACCTGAGATGCCAGACCGTCGATTGGGGAGAGACATCGAAGTCATGTTTGGGTGTGCTCCGTAGGCACCGCGAAACTCCCTGCATTCCCAGCCCCAATAAGCAGAAAGCCCGCTTTGGTGGCCCAGGCTGCGATGGCGAGTGGCTCAGAGCCTGCAGCGGCAGAGGCCAAGGACTGCTCGGGAGTGTTGCCCGCTACCCTCCCTTTTCAAGTGACATAGTATAGCTTTTGCAGGGCGGGCGAGTTACAAAACCGTTTGGCAGTCTTACGCCAAGGAGTCGGAGGATGCTCAATTGTTAGCTCCCAAGCACGAGTTGCAGCATCGATGGCCTGGCCTTGCCCGCTTGGGAGTTGCTTGGGACTTTTGGGGTTCAGGCGACGGCTTCAAGCTCGGATTGAATATGCCATGTGAAATGTGAAAAACGTAGAGTCTTGGCGGCCGCGGAAATCGGAAGATGACCTTGGCCATTGCAAAGCCTGGCAAGCCAGGTGCCTCTGGGTGCATCAGCGGCCGGGGGCGCAGAAGGCCAGAAGGTATTCTTGATATATCAACCTGGAACATGTAATCTGCACCCTAAGCCAATGCCAGACAGATCCACACAGGAAGTACGTATGCCTGCCTGCCTGCATGCATGCATGGGAGTGTACGTATGGGTGTATACATATAGACAAACTTGGTACCGATCCCCTGCCATGCATGATGCCAATAGGATTCCTCGCCTTCTCCACGCCTCGAAGTGGCCCTGCATATGATAGACTTTCCTCAGGACGCCAAGAAAGTCAGTATGATAATTTGTGATTTCAGCGGGTCTGCATTCATGAAGCTCGGATGTTGAGAGTCGTGAGAGTGATGACAGCTTTGACTGAATAGCGTGCGATCCAGGGCCAAGCCTGGAACGAAAGCCAGAGGGAAGTCCATGCCTTCGATACCGTGGAGGAGCCTTGCTTACTTGAGGCCGTTTACTCTGTGAAGGATCTCAAGCCCAGCCCTTTAAGACTTCACCCCGGTACCCCCCAGTCGCCACAATCAAGGATATGCTGATGCTGAGTACAAGGCCCTAAGCCGGCTCTGAGCCCCTCATTGCAGGACTTCTGGTGTATGTTTCACTTCTCCTACCCGCCGTCAAAGCTAGAGAATGTGGATTACTCGCTCTTCAAGTCAGGCGGGCTGCAGCAGCAAGAGAAATAACATCCGGAGCTCCTGATAGAGTCTGCCATTTGTCGGTGACTTGCCAAGGAAAGTTGAACCCAGGCCCTAAACCCGATCCGCTTTGCAGGTGTTGCGCCGGCTTGGGAGGCCCGGCTTGGGGGCAGTAGAGCTTTGTTGTCGTGTCGGATCACGTGATTTATCACTACTAGGTTACTACTGCTACAACTCGACGACGACGACTACTAAGCTGCTGTTGCTGCTGCATGCTGTGACGTGCCCCGACAGGGGATACGCTGAACGCGCTGCACCACTCGTACCTTGTCAGGATGCCGCCTTCAAGAACGGTGGGCGCTGGGTCATCAAGCTGGAGAAAGTGAAGGCCAGGTCCTGAGTTGAAAGCAGCTATCCATGGGAGAAGAGCGTAAACAAGAGGAGATGGTAGTGGGATACACGTGGGTACACAGAAGTTGAGGCATTGAACACCCATCCGACCACTGATATTACGGTAATTGTTTCGACCACCTTGAAGTACACCAGAACACGAACATATAGTCACGACATGAAGCACAGCCAGTATATTGGGCACTATTTCTTGAGGCAGCTCGTACGGACCGCCGAACACCGCCCTGCCCATCACCCATCCCAACTGGTCTGGCCTTTGCCCTGTTGCCCCGGTTTTGCGCAACGAGGCGCAGAGCTTGGACGACCTGTGGCTGTCACTTAGCCTCGCTCTCATCGGTGAGGAGACGCCGACTCCATCAGCCGTTGAAGCGGTTTACTGAAACTAAGCTACAGCATGTTAATTATACTATGCTGCCATATTATATTGTAGTATGATGTGACAAAAGATGAGTCACTGTTGGCAAGCCGAGCCCCTCCATTCGGGCCAGGACTTCACTGACGTTGGAGGTGAGCTGGTCTGCGGTGCCATCGTCTCCGTCAGGACTGCCAAGCTGTGTTGTTCGAGCCGACGCAGCCAGCACTATGACAGCAATTCTAGGGCCCTGAGCCCTCGGCATCCAGGGCATGGCGATCCCTCGCCCCTTTAAAAGCCAGCCATGCTTGTCTTTTTTCAGCGGTTTCAGAACCGTGTGCTGCAGTGGAGCTGGACGCGCCTGCAGGCGTGCATGGTTTAGTTTGGTTAGTCTTCTCTTGAGAATCGATGTTCCAGCATGTTTCCTTTCTTGAAGAGGGATTTTGATTACATGGCCGAAACAAGTGATCCTCACTCCTCATGACGATTATCGTGAGTAGCACTGTATCGGCACCAGCATCATAAAGTTTTTCTTGCTGACTCTTGTCAGCAATCCTAGGAGCCGCGCCAGCAAGATCGCATTGTGGCTTTCTGCAGCGAAGGCTCGGCGGATTGCACCGAAAGCGGGCATGAGCCTGCAGGCTTAGAATGGGACATCTTGGGTCCGACTGCCTGCTGTCAGAGATGTTTGGCATGACTTCTGCTGCCCAACAATCTGCAGGATGAGAAGAAAGTGATGGCACTAGGGCGCCACTACAGAGAAGTCGGAAGCCAAGTTTTTCGACCGTCATAGGGATATAGCGCAGTCTCTCAAACGATATCCCGAAACCCGAATCGCCCGTCTGAGGTGCTGGCGCAAACGCCCGGCCTTCAGGAGCTCTCAACAAAGGCCCGTGAGATCTGCTGATGGCTGTGAGGTTCGTAAGCTTATCGTTACGCCCATCTCAGTCTCGTCATCAGCTGCAGTGAGACGTGAGACTGTGCCCGATCTTTGCATGCGTGCCGCCTTGAGCTTCGTTTTTCGTGTACTGGTATTGGTGATCAGTGATCAGTTGCTAATGCTTTGGCGTGGTCAAAGCTACTGGTGCTCCCATTGAGATCATGGGCTGCCTATAGTACTAAGACCACTATACCTCTGTGTTTTTTGTTTGCACTGATGCCCGAAGTTCTGTACCCAATCTCTTTGATATGCCCACTAACCTGTGCCCTGAACTGCTCGCGAGGAGCTCACATTCGAGGATTTTCGGAAGCAGGCCGTCACGTTCATTCTCACCAAGCCGAACTCCGGAGGTGAACAGGCTGGCTCAGTGTCGCACACGTAAATTAGGGATTGTCTGCTGACTTGAGCCGTGATGTGTTGTGCCAGGCCGGTGGATTTCAGTGAGTGGAGACCGATCCCAGAGTGGGATCCCGCCGAAGGCAAAAAATGATGAGCGCTCTGCCGCATGCTTAGCTCAAGACTGAGCCTCCTGGAAGCCACAGTTCCCAAACGGCTGTGGCATGTTGCTCGCTGAGACCCGCTGGGGGGCAGCCCTTTCGGGAGCTGCAACCTCCCATTCTGCTACCGGGGTTCATGCGTGCGGCACAGCGGATCGTCCCCAGATTGTTTCAGAGGCAAATGCCATCCGATGTTCCGCCTCGACTCGGCACCAGGCTGCGGAGACGTGACTTCCGAAGAAGCTGCACCAAGACAAATCAAAGGGGCTCGTCTAGGGTGCCCTGCGGAATAGACGAGCTCACATAATCTTTGGATGCCTGATGCATGGACACGCATCTCACTTCCTGGCTGCCGCAATCGTCCTCAATCGTATATAAGTACGGAAAATGGAAAGCCTCGCATCCGGGCTGTCGAGAGGATCATCCCTACCTTCAAAGGTGGAGCATTATCTTATCCGCCTGACCCATCGCCGCAAAGCGTTGTGTCGTGCACGTGAGATCCTACGAGCTCTACAGTTGCAAGGCCGAGTCCGGAGGGACGCAATGCGATGCCCCAAGCCCGAGGATGCCCCAGCCAGTGTTCAATTTGTTTGGCTTCAACGGTTGGGCAGGCTGGAGTCCAACATGTTCTGACTGGGGTGTTCTTGCAGCCGCTCTGCCGTTTGCTGCCAAGCTCTTGTGGACGTCGCGATTCGCTCGCAAAGCCTTGCCTCAACAAGCAACTCCGATTTTTGGGCAAGAAGGTTCCGTGGACGTGCAAACGACACGACGATCTCCACTCGCAAGTCAGGTCATACGGCTGTACATGAAACGCCTCTCCAGAACGCTTCCAAGCACAGGCCCCGGCGAGCGTTCCCCGCGCTCAGTGGTCTCTGGCCACATGGCCGATGCCTCTGCGCAGAAAAGCACCCGCAATACCAAAGGTCCGTCAACACTTGTTGAACTTGTGTCACGCTCGTGATCACTGCAGAGTCCGGAAGCTCGACCGGAATTCGGTCGGAATGGGGACCTTGACAGTAAAGAACCGTTTGAACTGGGCTGTCTGCCCAATCAACAATACGGAACACGGTGTTGGCATCTTCGAACGGGCGCCTGCATGCATCGCACGCGAGGAGATGGGCTCTGACGGCAACGTTGTGGTGCAGGACCACTGCCAAGAGGACCTGATCGTCTACACAGCATAGCTTGCAG